CTAATTAGCAGAAGAAGAAAATAATTAGCCACTGTTTTATCACTTCACCTGCTCTTAAGGTTGAAAAAACACAATCTTCTCAGCCGCTCCTTGTAGGTCAGCCCACTAACCAAGGGGCTGCCCTTACTGGGCTTGCTCCAGCATGGTAATGTAAGTTTGGTGCTGGGTGGTCCAACACAGAGCGCAGTCTCACAAGAGCCACAGAGGATCAGAATCACTTCCCAAAGTTCTGGCATATGACACCCTTACTAACTAACGCAGCCCAAGATGCTGCTGGCCCCCATCAGGGCTCAACTGTTCAACTGCTTCTCCATCAGGAACCCCTACGTCCTTTTCTGCAAAGGTCCTTTCTAACCAACTGGCTGCAGCCCATAGCGGTGCACCATTTACTGCATCCCCAGTGCTGGACTTGGTCCTTGCTGAGTGTCATGTCCTGTCTGCCTGTTTCTCCAGCCTGTTGAAGTCCCTCTGAACCTGGAGGGGCCTCCAGCTTGTCAGTCACGCCCCTGTTTGCCATGTATGTCCTCCATCCCATTGTCCTAGGTCATTAATAAAGACATTAAACAATATTGGCCCAAGAAGTGATCCCTAAGGATCAGCTGGACATATCTACCACAATTTGATCACACCTTTTGAATATGACAGTCCAGCCAATATTCCACGCACCTCCTCAACCACTTACCCACTCTACATCTCAGTGATTTGACTACAAGGACACTATACAACATCCACTGCTACTCCCTTGAACCCAGAGCCATTTAGTTCTTCAAAGAACATCAGTGACAAGTTTTGTCTCTACTATAGTTGTAATGATTCAGCCAAGAAGAGCTAAGGAACTCAGCAGCTTCTTTGAGTATTCAGGAGTAGCAGAGGGGAGTATTTATCAATATGTTAATGGTAGAAGTGCTATTTATTAAATTTAAATTTACTCCAGTAGCCTAACACTGATACACTACCCAAGGAATGCTGAATGTAGCCCCACAGCAGTCACCAAACATCACACTGGGAAAAATTCAAGACTGTACACATGACCCAATTCATGTTATTACCCATATGGTTCTAACGGCATTCCCCAACCATGTTAAAGCAAGCAAGACAAAGGCAACTGAAGGCGGCCTGCTGCTCTCTGCCTTCAGTTATTCTGACACTTAGCACTGTACCTGTGGTAAAACATGACTGTTCCAAGCTCTGGTCCTGCTCTTCTTCTTAAGAAAATAAAAACCAACGCTAAAACCACTACATAGATTCTCTTCCCCTTCTTGCATTCTCATGTACATATTAATGACGGCATTAACCTTCTGTTTATGTTAATAGTGGGCTCCATCATTATTTCTATTAGTTTGATGTTACTCTTGATAACCTTTGAAGCTGCTGATCTGGTGACCATCGGTCACCAACCTCCCTGTCTTGAGGGGTTTTTTTTATTCTGAAGAAAAAAAAAAAGTGTTCAGGAATTGGTTATATGACAAAATATCATTCAATATTAGTTTTTTAGTTTTTACAGCTCTATAATATATAATTAACTTAATTGTGAAAACAGGGAAACAAGTATACAATCATCTTAAGTAGCCTAACCAAAGCAATTTGGTCAAACTGAAGGGAATCAAGCAGCAGTCGATATCGAGGCCTGTGAGCTCAATCAGCTAGGTTAAAGCTTCTCAAACTCTTCTTCCAGAACCAAATTTCACTTTTAAAACACATTTTAGTGGTAGTGATGAACAGTGATGAAATGTCCCTTGGGCATCCCCAGCTTCCCCTCCTGGGTCAGCAGCGTGTCCTGCTCCGGCACTCCTGCTGCTCCCGCCTTACACTGACTCCTTCCCTCTAGCAGCTGCTGGGCGAGGTTCAGCTTCTCTTTCGCAAAAAACCCTTAATGCAACAGGGAAAAAATATTTCGGTCATGAGCAGGTGTGAAAAAGATGCCTGTACGATTTTGTTGCCCAAACTGCGATTTTCTGCCCCAGAAAAACCTTTTATTCACCCAGGGAGGCTTTTAGTACTAAGGCCTCATTTGTACAAATACAAAAAAATAAGCCAAATCTTGCGAAAGCAACTTCTGAGCCCGGGCGTTTACGTTTTACCCACCTCATTCTCGTGGAGTGGGAACTCAAAGACCGGCCTTAGGCCGGCACCCCCCTCCGCCCCCACGGCCGCCGCGGGGCGCCGCAGCACCCGCTGGCGCTGGA